ATTGGCATCAGAATTTCCCCCTTATTATGTTCCAAAATGCAGCTAACGGTGTTTTGATAGTTGTTGTCACTCACTGAAGTCACGGGACATACGAAGTCAATATTAACTGTCTCCTGATTGAAATTATTAAAGTGGAGTGGCTAGACAGCCATACACTTGAAAATACTAAATACCCTGAGATGTATAGAAAGAAAGAGAATCGTGTGCAATGAAACAATTGGTTTATATTGATTAGCGAAAAAGAAGTCGGATTAGACAGTTGAGTGGCTAGACCTCCATTCATTGGACACTACCAAATACCTCGAACCGTACCGAAAGAACAAGAATCGAGCGCAGAGAAATCATTTGGTTTATAATAGCTCGTCAAAAATATACTAGCTATTGAAAATCGCACGTATGCAGTGCCACTAGATGTACTAAAGACGGAAAGTCCTCAAACCTGGATTATCTGTAAACAAACTACCAGCTCCTGGTTGACGATGTTCATGTGGATACACCAATAGGTAGCAGTGACCATGGCATAGTCTTGTTTAATGTGGTCATAAACGAAACACTCACACAGGACGATAATGAGCCCTATCTTTGCTACACTTGGGCAAACTATACACGTATGAGAGAGGTCCTCCTAAATGCCCCACGGTCACGAGAGTGGTGGAGGCTAACAGTAGATGATCACTGGCAAACAGTGAGGGATATCATCCAAAACGCTGTCGTAGACAACGTACCTCAGTCACACCCAAAACGCCACAACAGAAGAACCTGGGTTAGGCGCGGCAGGGAACGCTTGCTAAAGGCGAAGAGGAAAGCCTGGCACAAGTGGAAGGTCTCCTTGAAGGATTCCGATCGCAGTTCTTACTTGGCATTGAGAAACAGATGTAATACCAAAGTTCGAAGCGACAGGAGACAATTCTAGACGAAGCTAGCCTCCAGAATAGAGGCAAACCCGAAGCATCTGTTTAGGTTCATGTCCAAAAGAAAACCTACTAATCAAGGGTGTGTGTTCTCTCAAAGGACGAAACGGGGAAGACCTCACCAACCTAGAGATGGCCGAGATCTTCAACACCAACTTTTCTGATCAGTTAAACCAGGCGCCCACATGTTCAGAGTACTACGCCAACCCATTGCCAGCTGACGGCTGAGGTAACATCCGTATCACTCCTGACTTAGTACTAAGGAAACTAAAATCCTTACTCCCAGGTAGGTCACCAGGTTTTGACAAAATTCGCCCCATAGTCTTGCAAAAACGTGCGCAAGTCCTCTGTGTCACCGTTCTGCAACCTGTTCAGGCATTCACTGGAGTCACACCAATTCCCAGCTGAATGGAAACAAGCTACTCTCTCTCCAATCTTCAAAGGAGGAGATAGAAAGGACCCAGCCTGTTACAGACCAGTCGCACTACTACCAATATTATCAAAGGTAATGGAAGGGCTAGTGGACGAACAAATGAGGGAGTACATGGAAAAGAATAAAATACTCCATGATGCTCAACACGGGTTTCGGAAAGGCAGGTCGTGTGCTTCTAATCTTCTCATCGCATCGGACAGTTGGACATCCTATTTGGACCGTAAAATACCGGTGAACGTAATATTTCTCGACTTTGCAAAAGCCTTTGACACAGTACCCCACACACGCCTAATAGAAAAGGTCGTGGAAATGGGCGTCACCGACCCGCTCGTATCTTGGCTCAGAAACTACCTTGGGAATAGAAAGTTTCGCACCAAGGTAAACAGAGTGCACGCGAGCTGGCAAGTATCCACATCGGGAGTTTCACAGGGGACAATCCTAGGCCCAATTCTCTTCCTGATGCGAAGATCTGGAGGTCCATTAGAAGCAAAGAGGATTCCACTGAGCTTCAAAAGGACTTTACATCAAATGAGAAATGGGCAGTGAAAAACGGTTTAAAACTCAACCAACCGCAGTGCCACTTCATGCTTTTCTTGCCTCACATGACGCAAACGACCTATACCCTTGATGGAAGTCCGCTCCCTAATGTCTCCTCAGAGCGCGATCTCGGTCTAATAACCACAGAAAGCCTCCACACGAGTCCAAACCATGTAAGGGATGCAGCCAAGGCGAATGCGATTCTTCACTTTATGCGAAGACAACTTGGTGCTATCACCAAGCAATTATTTTTAACCCTGTTTAAAACGTACGCGCGCCCACACTTGGAGGTTAACAATGTCATCGCACCCCCTCTGCTTAAACGAGACTCAAATCTCTTGGATCGAGTGCAGAGTCGAGCAACCAAATGGTTGATGAGGTTGAAAAATAAACCTTACGACAATGGACTCCAGCTCTTGGGATTATTTCCACTGAGTTACAGGATAATCAGAGGTGATCTGATTATTGAGTACAACATATTAAGCACGCCAAACCATCCCAACGTGGACATCTTACTGTTGCATCATCACTACTCCTCCTGAGGCAATCCGCGAAAAATTGCACATCTGAGATCGAATACTCAGGTTCATGCACACTTTTTACCATTAACAGTAGTTGAAACTTGGAATTCTCTCCTAGTCGATGCGACCACAGCCCCTTCAGTGGATCGCTTCAAGGAGAGACTTGATAATCACCTACTCACATACGGATTATTGTCTCTCTCTTGGACAAGCTGATCATGATGCATGCCTTGAGGCTTTCTAGTCGTTATTACTGCTATCTCTTCAGATCACTAACTTAATCTATCTCGCCTATTATCTGCATTTCCTCTTCCTTGCTTATGCATCGGTCCTCTCTCACAATCCTCACTATTAATTAACAAACTGAATTCATCTATATATTACTCAGTTCTGAAATTTTATTCACATTAGCATTAGAATTTTAATCTTTTTATCATTGTTACTCTCCACATTGCAACTAACTGACCTCTGGCCTGGTAATCTGATAGCTTCTGGTATCCAGAAACCCTACTGCCCTGAGACAAACGTTCTCATTCAAATTACGGACATGCAAACTCACAAACTGACAAGAATTAGACAGTCGAGTGGCCAGACCCCATCCAGTGGATTCTAATAGACACCTGGAACCGTACCGAAAGAAGAAAGACCGAGCTCAAAGAAACCTAATGGTTCATACTAGCTCATGAAAAAGATATTGGATATTGGATTTTGGGAGTGGATGTGCTCGATATAAATCTTGACCTTGGCAAGCGTTTTTAACTGACAACCTGTATTTTTTTTGTTTTGTTAGTTCTGTTGTCTAAAATTAGATAAGAGCTGCTTTCATTGAATGATAAATTTGCGGCTGAACTACATTTTATAGATTTACGACTCAGATCTGTGATTTATGATGTTGGTTTCCTACTTGATATTCATTGTTCGATATGGCTAGAAATTAGTGCGTCACTATATTTGGTGTCAGTTCTTTATATGAACATTCTCTGTGTCCCTTTAACTAGCTCTTGCTTATGTTGAGTTATGAGCACTAGTATGATGTTAATACTCCCTTTAAACCTAATTTCAGGTGATTTTCTCAACTGAGAAAATTCTTTGTGGTTTCTTTAATGTATGCTACTCGTTTCTTCATAGGATCTCATTTAATCACGGACTTGACTGTAAAACGCGTAAGGTGTCTGAGTGACCAACTAGCTATGTAAGTTTCGTAACCATTAGCTTACTGAAAGTTATTAATATGAGCAGAAATACCAATGTTAAAGGAAATATTGTGAATATTTTTAACCAATCAAGGCATTTACTGATTCGAACCACACACATCTGACCAACTAGGGAGTACAATAAGACTTTACACAAAGTGCTGCTCAAGGCAGTGCAGTACGTAAGTCTGAGTTCTCTATTTAAAAACCGTAACTTACCACGTTCTAAGTTGTGCAATTGGAGATTTTGTGGCCACGGCAAAATCTCTTAAGGACGGTAACAACCATTTTGACAATATTTTTGATTTCTGTACTCAACAAACCTTAGTGCCGCCGCCAAAAATATTTGAGTAGAGTGGGGTGAGCTGTATTTAATACTAATTTTTTATTGCTTCGGTCTGTTAGGAAGCAGCTGCAATAAAGATGTTCGTATCTCATAAGAGTCATCCTATTTCGTCTCCTTCTAAGACTTCGGATCGGTCTTTCCGCACCCAAGTTTGGTTTTCTAGTTAAGATGACTTGGTCAAGTGGTCTTAATAGAGGAGCGCAACCATCGCAGCCAAATGTATTTAACGAGAAAACTACAAATTTTTACCATTCACCAAATATAATAGCTTTGTAGTCGTAAAAGCTAGTCAGTCGGACACAACGTAGAACTTCGTACGTACGTACATCAGTTCACGTTGCCATGCCACATTAGCACAGAGATGTAATTGTCAATTCAAATCCCATAGTAGTAAAGGTAGTAGACGTATTAGCGGTAATGCAAAAGAATAGGGTTGAAATATGTTATTCAAGAAGTATAATTCAGTGAGATAAATTTAGAAAGACAAAGGTAGAGATGATAAGGAATTCAGAAGATTAGGATTCGAGAAAACAGAATAAATGCACATGCACCGGTGGAAACGATTTTAAGCCGTCATCCAAGGTCTTTGACCATCGGTTACTACCATCTTGCGGACCCCAACCAGGTAGTCTACACTTACCAATATGACTCAATCCACTTGTCAATAAGTTCATGGGTTGTGCCATGTTTTGGTTTGGTTGCCCCTATCTTTCTTCCAACCTACTCCTACACTGCAAAACATGATAAAAGCTAATATATGATTTCGAAAATGAAACTTCCAGCCAGATTAATGTACAAGATAATAAACCAGTTAAACACATAGTTAAAAGGTATATCTAACTTCTAACCCTAAGACAAGATTCAAAAAATTTAGCCGTTAGTAGGCAAATTTTTAAAGATATCACATCACCGATAATTTATCAGAATACTGTCGCTGGATCTGTGCATTTGTGCTACATCCGGGCCTTATATCAGGCAAGTTGATCTCTTTCTGTCGATTTTTCAAACGAGTGAAGTGCTTTCTAATAAGATCGCCAATAGACTACCAGTTAAATGGTGTTTATAAATTATCTACCTTAATAGATGATTAGAAACTCGAGAAAAAAACTCGAATCCATCATTGTTGTACATATAATCTACATATTACCTTTAACTATTTAAGATGGCTGTTTATTTGAAGGATATATTTCCAGTTCGTTTTATGAGTATGTCTTGAGTGGAATGTTACAACTAATTCATTATCGTTATAATGCTTTAGCGTTAACTATATATACTCTTGTAAATATTTTAGTTTCTCAAATGATGAACTCAGAATCACGCAACTCAAATGTGGCTCCAAAGAAGTTCGATTTTATGGATATCTTCTCCGAATCTTATTCATTAGCACAAAAACGTAATCAAGTGAACAATGCAAGGGTATGAAGATACACTTTCCTTATGATTTTCCCGATAGGTTTTAGCTTTGCTTCCGGAATTAGATTCACAAAACACTGAAGTGGATCCTCAAGAGGAATCTAATGTAGACCCTGAATCTGACTTCATTGGTCCTTCACCAGAAGATTTAGTTACTGATAATCTATATTACTTACCTATTACTGAAAATTTAACTCTATCTCATGGTGTTAAACCACTTACTGCAATTGGTGTCGATCCAGCAGGTGCTCGTGTTGCTACAGGTGGTTTTGATTTTGATGTGAAACTTTGGGATTTTGGTGGGATGGATAGTGCATGTCGTCCATTTAAAGCTTTTCGTCCGTGTGAAGAACATCAAATCAAACACTTGGATTTTAGTCCTTCTGGTTGGTTGTATTTTTTTTAACACATCGCATGTATTCTTGTGATAAAGTTATTTTGTAGCTGATTCTTTATAGATATTATTGTTAGAATGCAAAGTTATGTTTTTTTAAGTTGAAAATTTTCTGTTCTTCATTCGTAATACTGGATTACACGATTTAACTTCTAACCATCTATCTGATTTTGACCAGTTTGGTCTCGTGTGCTGTTACGGGTATGAGGGTGGTTGTCACTTGGTAGTGACACTTCATCAGTTGAGGTGGTTGAGACATGTGTTACGTATGCCTAACCACTGACTGCCTCGACGAGCTATGTTTTGCGGTGTAGGAGTAGATTGGAAGAAAGCTAGGGGCGGCCAAACCAAAACATGGCAGAAATCCATGAAGTCACTGACAGGAGGACTGAGTCATGTTGGTAGATGTAGGCTACCTGGTTGGGGTCCGCTAGACGAAAGTCACCGATGGTTAGAGACCTTGAATGACATGGCTCAGAATCGTTTGCAATGGCGCAGGTGCATCCATTCTTTGTGTTCTATGAAATTCTAACCTTCTGCATTCCTCATAATCTCTCTTTCTCCTTCTAAATGTATCTCACTGAATTATACTTCTCGAATCATATCTTCGCTCCCCAATCTTCTCCATTACTGCTAATACTTCTATTATTGCTATCACTGTTGGATTTGAACTGACAGTTGCGTCTCTGTGCTGATGTGGTATGGCAACCTGAACTGATGTACTTACGTACGAAGTTGTGCGTTGAATCTGTCTGTCTGTCTGTCTGTCTAACCATGTATTTACCTCGTTTTAATTACCAAGTGTTGTGTATAACTTATTTTAATGTAAGGAATGCAATACTTCATTCTCCATCTCACTAAATTCCCGACCAAGTTCTCTCGTTCTAATTCAAATCAAGTTAAGTTGGATTCGGTGTGTAAACGATTGGTCTTAAAGCCAGAGAAAAATAGGTCAATACTCTGGTCAATGTAAAATCAAAACCTAGTTGACAGTTATATTTTGTGGTTGAGTCTATCAAGCACTAGACCGGTAGCATATAGGTCATTGCTTTAGATTCTGTCTCAACCTAGGTTTGCTTACATTTCTAATAATTAATCCTTAATTCAAAACGTTTTCTTCCATTCAGGACTTAATTAATTTGCTCTGAATAAGAGATGACTGTTTCATAGTGATTTTTTTCCCGAAAGATTGCTCACATTCGACAGCATTATCATGTGAGTAGCCCTGAGGTCCAATTGTGGTGCGAGCTACTTATAAGTAGTATATGACGTGAGTGTCAACGTAATGTCTGGCAGCAGAAGATGGGGGAAGATCAAGAAAGGAAGAGTGGGGGGAACACAATGGAATTTGTATGAAACGCATGAATAGTGACAATGGATTGATGTTTTGCAACAGGAACAGTCCAGTTCAATATGATGAACTGATATTTTGCAAATGAACGATTTACGATATGGTTTTCCAATTTTACTGAGTAACTCTAATTTCCGTTAAATACAATTCTATTGCCCCACCTGTGTTCTCGTTCACTACACAATGATGTTTCTTTGGGTATATTGACAACGACAATTTAATAAATATCGTCATCCTAATTCACTGGATTCGGTGATTAAGTCATGTTCTATTAAGACGACTGCCATATTTTGCATTATTATTGATGCTGATACTGGGAAGAGGAGTAGAAAGCTAGCTAGTTACTGAGAGATAGTATTAGTGTTATGTAGTGCTTTACGACTTCCTTATGAGTTCGTAAAGTTTACAGTTCACTGAGTTGATAAAGGTATTGTACATTGCTTAGAATAAAAACTATTTCTTATCTTGCTGTGGTTTTCTGTTGCCGTCCACATGAGTAGTCTACCTCATTTATTGGATGAAATCTTAGGTGTGTTCTTAATGAAATCATATTTTTAGTACTTTTTACCATAACTTTTATAAATTTTCTATCCTTATATCATTCACATAGTTTAATTTGGCACACATCTTGTTGCCTTATTATATCAAATATTTTTAAGACTGTGTGAATTCTTCCTGTTTTGATTTTCCTCTTAAGTATTTAACCAATGGCTTTAGTTATATACACTGGAAAATAAGCAAGCTACTTTTCTAAGTGGTTTAACTAATATGTTTCATACTGTACCTGACTTGTGTTGTGTTTGAATAGCATTTTTGTTATGTTCGTCACTAAGTATGCTTGAGGCTATTACAAGTTTACCTTGGTCGATAAACGCGAACGAGACAATTAATCAGCGTCCAGGTAGGCTACCTTGAACCCCAAGCTGAAGTAAAAAGACTTTGCAAGCGTAGAAAGTATATTCTACAAACAACCCAGCAATCACAGTACAATCAAGCACACAACCCTCGTTAATTTATACATCATAGAAACGTCCTTGGGACAGTTACGAAAATAGCACACCAATAAAATACACAGCAGCCAATCACAGCCATGGATTTTCGTGGTGTGGAAATGAAATCTCAGAGTCAACTGATCAGCCCATGCTGGCAAACGTGAAATCCAAAATAAGGCATTTATCAAGCGAGTTCTGGGGATCTAACGTCTTTATTCTGAAATATAACAGGTGTCGTTACCTTTCTAGATATTCTAGTGTCATAGATCTTCTTGATTGATACATCTTCATAATAAAGTTGCCTCTTAATATCAATGACTAATTCCTAGTTTTATAACTCATCATCTCTGCAGGAGAACATCTTTTAGTTATATCTGGTTCCGCTCAAGCTTTCATAGTTGATCGAGATGGAGAAGCTGTATGTTATACAAATAAAGGTTATCAATATATTACTGATCCAGCTAGTGCTAAAGGTCATACTCATGCATTACATTGGGGTATGTGGCATCCATTGGATTCAAACAAACTACTCACATGTTCACAGGATTCAACTCTACGTGTATGGGATATAAATGATGCAGAAGCAGTAATGAATGAAACACGTATACCTACGCATAAAATTGTCATCAAAACACGTAATGCACAAGGACGTAAAACTAGTCCAACATCATGTGCTTATTCAAAGTAAGTTAAATAAAGGTTTGAGTTCCTTGTTTTCTATTGTTCAAGTTTCATCATTTTGTGTATATTTGTGGTGCGCGCTACTTATAAGTAGTAGTATATGACGCGAGTGTAAACGTAATGTCTGGCAGTAGAAGATGGGGGAAGATCAAGAAAGGGAGGAAGAGTGGGAACACAATGCAATTTGTATGAAATGCATGAATAGTGAGTGAAATGTCAGACAATGGATTGATGATGAACTGATATTTTGCAAATTAACGATTTACGATATGGTTTTCCTATTTTACTGAGTAACTCTGTAATTTTCGTTAAATACAATTTGGTTGTCCTCACCTGTGTTCTCCTTCACTACATATTGACTGTTTTTCAATAAAAAATGATCAGTTGTTTTTCAAAGTATACTTTATAATCGTATACTAGTCGTATACTAGGACAAAACGACTATCTAGTGCTTCCAGGTTTCTAATGATGGTCTCACATTGATCGATTCATGATTTTAATGAAACCCAACAATCTTCATAACCGTACAATGAAAATTATTATGTACTCACTAGTGACTAGCTTTGTGAAGAAGTTTACCTGAGTTCTAATGAGAAATCGTAACCTATGGAGTTCAACCTTGTTCAGGTGTGAAGCAGTGCTCACCGAAGACAGTGAATGACGTTGCACAAGAACGTGAATTGATCGAAGTTGGACGCCGGCTCAGTGGTCTAGAGGTCTGGCGTTCACGCGCAAGACCGAAGGTCCTGGACTTGAACTCTGTGAGTAGCAGGGGTCATAAATATGCACTTCTAAAGAGTCCAATACCAGGACGAAACGGCCATTCAGTGCTTCTCTGTTCATCAATTCATGATTTCAAAGTAATATTTATTTGTCTTCTAAATTTATTGATGTCTGAGATAGAGAGTAATTTGGAATATTAAGAATCATTATAGTAAGTTATATCTATTATATTCGACATCTGGAGGGAAGCACGGTATCAACTGGACAGTTAGGACGCAGCTGGACGACCTGAACTTCGCAGATGACCTGGCTCTTCTATCGCACACGCAACAACAAATGCAAGAGAAGACGACCAGTGTAGCAGCAGACTCTGCAGCAGCAGTAGGTCTCAACATACATAAAGGAAAAAGCGAAATTCTCCGATGCAACACAACATGCACCAACCAAATCACTCTTGATGCAGATGCCTTGGAGGATGTTAACACCTTTACATATCTGGGCAGCATCATCGACAATCAAGGTGGATCGGATGCAGATGTGAGGGCGCGGATTGGCAAATCGAGGGCTGCATTTCTACAGTTGAAAAATATCTGGAACTCCAAACAACTTTCAACCAAAACCAAAATCAGGATTTTCAATACAAATGTCAAGACAGTTCTACTGTATGTAGCGGAAACTTGGAGAACTACCAAAGCAATCATCCAGAAGATACAAGTGTTTATTAACAGTTGTCTACGCAAAATACTTCGGATTCGTTGGCCAGACACTATCAGCAACAGCGTACTGTGGGAGAGAACAAACCAGATTCGAGTGGAGGAGGAAATCATGAAGAAGCGGTGGAAGTGGATAGGACACACATTACGGAAAGCACCTAACTGCGTCACAAGACAAGCCCTCACATGGAACCCTCAAGGCAAAATGAAAAGAGGAATGTCAAGGAACATATTACGCCGAGAAATAGAGAAAGATATGAGAAGAATGAACGAAAACTGAAAAGAATTAGACAGGGAAGCCCAGGACAGATTTGGTTGGAGAAAACTGGTTGGCGGCCTATACTCCATTGGGAGTAACAGGCGTAAGTAAGTAAGTAAATATCTATTATATCTGTCTGTATTCATTGTCTTCCATTGCTTTCACCTTTTTATTTTTAATTTATTTATAAATTTAGAGATGGTCAATTAATTGCTGCAGGTTGTCAAGATGGTTCTATACAAATATGGGATACACGTAAACCATTAGTGAATACAACACAATTATATCGTACAGCACATCCAGTAAATACTGATATAACATGTGTCAATTGGTCATGGGATAGTAAACATCTATTAAGTCGTGGTATGAATGATGATACAATGAAATTATGGGATACACGTGCGCTATCTAAGGGAGCTATTCATGTATTTACAAATTTACCTGTATTATTTAATCAAAGTGAATTAACATTTAGTCCAAATGATCATATATTGGCAGTGGCTGTTAGTGTTCAACGTGATAATCCTAAAAAAGGTTTAATTAATTTTTATAGAAGAGATAATTTTGAGGTTAGTTCGTTCGATCGATGTTTTTTTATCGTAAATTTTCAATTGTTAAACATGGAATTGGTTTTGTGTCAAACTAAAAATTGATTAATCTGTCAGTGTTGTAAACTATATTTGAGTTAAATAATTTTTTAAATGGAATAGATCAAGGTATTATAGAGATGGCTTAAAACTGTTTGCGATGGCGCAGGTGCATTCATTCTTTGTGTTCTCTCAAATCGTAAACTTTTTAATTTCTTGATAAGTTCGTCACTTAGTGTGCTTGATGCTCTTACGAGTTTACCTTAGTCGATAAACGCGAACGAGACAATAAACCAGCGTCCAGGTAGGCTACCTTGAACCCGAAGCTGAAGAAAAAAGGCTTTGTAAGCGTAGAAAGTATATTCTACAAACACCCAGCAATCACAGTACAATCAAGCATACAACTCTCGTTTATTTATACAACATAGGAACGTCCTTGAGATAGTTAAGAAAATCGCACACTAAAATACACAGCAACCAATCACAGCCATGGATTTTCGTTGTAGGAATTGAAACCTCAAGGTCAACTGATCAGCCTATGCTGGCAAACGTCAAAACCAAAATAAGGCATTTATCAACCGAATTTTGGGGATCTAACATCCCCAACATTTCTCATCACTTTATCTTTATCTTTTTAAGTCTATTTCACTAGATTTTACTTCTTGAATAATATCTTTTAACCCTAATCTCTCCGATTACTGTTGATATCTTTACTAATTGACAATTACATCTCTGTGCTAATGTGGTATGGCAACTTGAACTGATGTACGTACGAAGTTCTATGTTGCTGTTGATTTTGGTTTGATGTCCAGTCATGAACGCCTTCAATCTGCACATATCACAGTAATCATATTGAACCGGAATCCAGTTTGTTTCAAGATTGGCTTGTATCGCCACCTGAGTGAAGTAGTTGAGCGTGTCGACCGCTTCACTTATCTTTGGAGTCTCCTCAGTGCTGATAGCCTGGTGACTGACGAAATCTCTGCACAGATACAGAAAGCTCGATTGACTTTTGCCAACCTGCGTCACTTATACCGAAGACGAGATACTCGTTTGCTGACTAAAGGACGAGTGTACTGCGCAGTAGTTTGCTCCGTCCTACTTTATGGTTGTGAAACATGGCCGGTAACAGTTGAGGATCATATGTGTCTCCGAAGCATTGCTCGTGTATCCTGGGACAACCGAATAAGCGATGCAATTGTTAAGAAACGGTTACTAGGTAAGGCTGGCAAATCAATAAGTGAATTAATGAAACTTCATCAGTTGAGATGGTTGGAACATGTGTCACGAGTGCAAAACCACTGACTGCCTCGTCGAGCTATGTTTCGCCGTGTAGGAATGGGTTGGAAGAAAGCTAGGGGTGGCCAAACCAAAACATGGCACAAATCTATGCAGTCATTGATAAGTGGATTAAGTCATGTTGGTAATTGTAGACCACCTGGTTGATGTCCACGAGATTATAGTAATCGATGGTTAGAGATCTTGAATGACATGGCTCAAAACTGTTTACAATGGCGCAGGTGCATCCATTTTTTATATTCTCCCAAATCCTAATCTTCTGAATTCCTATTCATCACTATCTTTCTCTTTCTAAATTTATCTCACCTAATCATACTTCTGGGATCATATCTTTGCTCCCTAATCTTCTACATCACTGCTAATACTTCTACTATCGCTATCACTCTTGGATTTGAATTGAAAACAGTGTCTCTGCGCTGATCGACCGAAGCTGCTACCTTGACGTGGTGGTCGGGCTTGACTATCGTGATGACCCAACCGAGCTATATTGGCTGGAACTTATGTTCCTGAAGGTTCTACCATGCCAGGCAGGTCGATTGGAGAACGATCAGACTAAAAACAGCTATTCAAGGTGTGAGGGCGAAGTCGTACTGCTGACTGTGATGGAGGGGTGTGACAGCAGTAAGGTATTTCCCTCGGATAACCAGCATCTTCAGCGATGCTGCCTTCTCACAAGGAAGGAAGGGTTAGAAATGGTCGACCCTAAAAATGTCACACCTCACCCTACCTGACGGATTTCCGTCTCCGTCGGTAAGGGTGCCCACTAAGGGCTTTTACGATCAAAGCTAATACTCAAAAAACCTTTCATAAAAAGGCCGTGCGTGACCGGCCTCAAGCAGTTGTCCCTTGGGCTCTGCGGTCACGCTCGCAGGTCGTTCAGACCAACGCTAATCTACTTTCCTTTTCAGGTTACTCAAGAAACAACCTTCCACGGTGTGGGCACCTGGGGAGTGACAACCGCCCTCATACCCGTAACAGCACACGAGACCAAATTGGTCAAAATCAACTGACTGACTGATATGGTATGGCAACCTGAACTGATGTACGTACGTACGAAGTTCTGCTTTTTATCTGTCTATCTTCATGTAAAACAGTCCAAAAATTTTGAATCACATCTCAACAGTTTCATTTAGTTAATCAATTAGTGGAATGTTGTTAATTTTAGTGATTATAAACAATTTAATTTTCAGTCACCAACTCCCAGGTTCGAACTCTGTCCCATTCATCTATAATCACAATGGTAATTCTATTCCGATGAATATCTGATCCTAATCAAATAAAATAATTTTTCATTTTTCTTATTTCAGTTAATTAATCAATTCAGTCCAAATCATGGCAGTGTTATTGGTTTACAATGGCATCATAGATTAAATCAAATATTTTGTAGTTCTTCTGATGGTCTAGCTAATGTATATTATGATTCAAAAATTAGTCATAATGGTGCATTAATGTGTGCAAATCGACAATCCACCCTGTCAAGTCGTCGACGTCATACTGGTACTGGTGAAGCTTATATGAAACCAATTATATTAACTTATGATGAAGAAGCTGTACGTATTGCACGTAAAAATAAAAAATATTTAAATCAAGTAGAAATTGATTCAGAACTTGCAATGGCTGCTGTAAATACAATTTTACAAAAAGATCATCAAACTATACAAGCAGCTAAAGAAGATGAAGCAAAACAACGTGTACCAAATCGTGAAGAATCTGTCGGGAATCGTGTTGGTAGTTTACATCAATTTATGGTACAACAAATTGTACTGAGAAAAAATGAAGCTGATGAACGTGCTGAAAAAGATATACGTGGAGCTATATTACGTCATGCTGATGAAGCGAAAAAACAACCATTTTGGACTAGAGCTTATTTAAAGTAAGATTTTTTTATGCTATAACTTTTATATTATTTATTATTATTATTGGTACAAATGGGTGTCTAAATATTTATACGCCACACAAATCGAACAATGTGTGAGTGAACTACCAGAAGATACAAGTATTTATGAACAGTTGTCTACACAAAATACTGAGGATTCGTTGGCCAGAGACGATCAGCAACAACGTGTTGTGGGAGGGAACAAACCAGATTCCAGTGGAGGAATAGGTTGGAAGAAAGTTAGGGACGGCCAAACCAAAACATGGCACAAATCCATGAAGTCATTGACACGTGGACTGAGCCATGTCGGTAACTGTCGACTATCTGGTTGGGGTCCGTGAGATGATAATAATCGATGGTTAGAGACCTTGAATGACATGGCTAAAAATCGTTCGCAATGGCGCCGGTGCATTTATTCTTTGTGTTCTCTCAAATCCTCATCTTCTGGATTCTTCAACACCTCTAGTTTTGACTTTCTAAACTTTTCTCATTTAATCATACTTCTTGAATAATATCTTCTCATCCTAACCTCTCCGATTACTTCTAATACCCTTACTAACTCTTCTACTATTGGATTTGAATTGAAAATTACATCTCTGTGCTGATGTGGTATGGCGACATGAACTGATGTACTTACGTACGAAGTTCTACGTTGCAACTGACTGACTGAACTGATCAGTGGAGGAGGAAATCAGGAAGAAGTGGTGGAAGTGGATAGGACACACACTACGAAAAGCACCCAACTGCGTCACAAGACAAGCCCTCACTTGGAACCCTCAAGGCAGAAGGAAAAGAGGAATATCAAGGAACACATTACGTCGAGAAATAGAGAAAGATATGAGATGAATGAACAAACATTGGACAGAACTGGAGAGGGAAGCCCAGGACAGTGTTGGTTGGAGAAAATTGGTCGGTGGCCTATGCTCCATTGGGGGTAACAGGCGTAAGTAAGTGAGCTGGGATACTGACCGGGTTTTTCTTAAAGGGCCCTCATCCTAAGCGTTTGACTCAAAAGGCCAGTCCACAAGGCAGTGGAGTGATGTAAGGAGATGCAGTTCCATGGTAGCCGGTCACCGACATTAGGTTAATATGCTATTCGTTCCGTCAGGAACCTGGTGCCTATGTGCACCATTGGTTCGGAACGAGGGTTTTCCATCTCCATCAAGTGAATCCTTCATATCCACCAACTCGGTTAAAGCGTTGAACACTCGCTTTTCATCCTCTTAATCACTTACATAACACTTGTAGCACGAGAGGACAGTGAATAGGACTTCCTTAACAGGGGCTATATACGTGTGGCCTTACCAGGGAACTTTGGAGGTTACTTTTACATAGATTCAAATGTTTAAGTGCATTGTAGGGAAAAAAACATAACTGTCTGATGAGTATATAGAGTTTGAAAAAGAAGAGAATAAAATTTATAAAAATGGTAAATTACGATTCAATCCATTGTAAAGTAAATAATGAGTGTGCATATACCTTACAGTGACTAATTTTCAACTGTAACACTCAACAAGTGATCTAACTATTGAATAGGTAAGCTCTTGTTTGGTACTCTGTTACTTTACATACATCTTGGTTTACTAACCTACTTCAGTATGCACTTCGCATCAAATTAGGCGTCAGCTCGTCACACGTAGCACCCCCGCAATTCTCTGGTATGTCTGAGGGTTGAGGGTTAGTCCATTCCCTTCTCTCGAAATACTCTCACTGTGTGACTTATCTATTCTCCTTTATTCTCATTTTGTGTATTCTGATTTCTAAACTCACTCACTCTATGATAGAAGTTATGTCCTGTCTAAACAAGCTCAACTCGCCGATGTATCAACATATATAAAATGGTTCTACTAAATATGATTCTTGTGACAGCTTTTCTTCTACATCCAAAGACTTATTGGACGACAGTGCTTTCTAATTTCACTGTTCTTCCTCATCTTCGCCACCTGTGTCATATGATTCTCGGCGTTCAGTCATCGTTTTCTCCAAAACGTTGTTGATAATGTTCAGTGGAAATATTATTACACTAATACTGAGATTCGGCCACGAGTATGTTCGGACACATTGACGATGATTCGAGTAGTGACCATCCTGTGAAACAAGCTTCTGTAGCTTGTAAATATGCTGTGAATGTCATCCCAGTGAGTTCCACTCTGAGCAGTATTTTTTACGCTAAAACTAGTTTAAGAAGACGTGTGGAAGCGGTCCATTTACGGCTTGACACTGTAACTTCAAAGAAAGCTGTATACAATTAGGATCTATCAGTTTGTTATGACTGTCTGTCTTGGGTCGTAGAGATACTAAAAGTTACCGTTATCAAATATGCCTCAAAACAGAGGCCAGCTTAAGTTAGTAAGTAAACAAGTAAGACATATCCCAAACACAGTCAGTCAACATCCGTTTATAGAGTCGTCATCATATTGCATTATTTACGTAGTTTATGCATGTGTTTACTACCTTCAAAAAGGAAATTCCATGGTTGGTGTATATTTGCGCTAAAATCTACACTGTTCATAACTGACTAAATTATGCAGTACAATTTATACTGGTAATTGACAAATTCACTATATATATCACTTTAGGCTGTTACTTCTCGTACAACATCATAGGCTGCCGACCAGGATGAGTTTCTAATCAACTCTGCTTTGGGCTTTCCTTTCCATTTATCCTAAGCGATATATATTACTTTACTTAATTTCGCCTGTTACCGCCAATGGAGCATAGGCCGCCAACCAGCATACTCCAACATACTCTGTCCTTGGCCTTTCTTTCTAATTCTGTCCAATTGTTGTTCCTTCTTCTCATGTCTATCTCAATTTCTCAGCGTAATGTGTTCCTATTGGCGATGTTAGATCCCCAGAACTCGCTTGATAAATATCTTTATTTATTTTCTTTAGCTTTCCTCTTTTCCGTTGTCCTTGAGGATTTCATGTGATGGCTTGTTATGTGATACAGTTAGGTGCTTTTCTCAGTGTTTGTACTGTATACTTTCAGTGCTTCTTCCTGATTTCTTCCTCCGCTGGAATCTGGTTTGTTCTTCCCCACAATAGGTTGTTGCTGATAATGTTTGGTCAATGAATCCGAAGTATTTTGTTTAGGCAACTGTTAATGAACACTTGTATCATCTGGATGATAGCTTTCGCAGGTCTCCAAGTTTCTTCCCCATACAGTAGAACTGTGTTGACATTTGTAACGAATCTTGTTACTTTTGTGTTGATTGATAGTTTTTTTGAGTTGTGGATGTTCTTCAGATGTAGAAATACTGTTTTTGCATTACCGATCCGCGCCTTCACATCTGCATCAGATCCACCTTGTTCATCAGTGAAACTGCCCAGATATGTGAAGGTGTTTACATCTTCACCCTCAAATGTGATTTGGTTGTTGCATGTTGTAATATATATATATAATCTCTTGTACATCGTATGATTAGGGATCCAACCCCTAACTCAGGTCTCATATGGTCGTAAAATGAAAATTTCGGAAACGCGGAAAAATAATTACCCGACATGAGACAAAGGGTAATAGAAGTTTTTTGGCCTATTTGCATCAAGCTGGGCTGCCTCTTCTATCCTACGCCATCATATATGTGTACACCATATGCTATACTGCTATATAGAGCTGAAGGTCTCTTATGAGAGACCAGTGGTTCGTTGTGAACATCGTGGATGGCTTGGCATTGCTTTGGCAAGCACTGCCCGATTTCATTGATATAGGTAGTTGTTTTGCAACATTCCCGAGGGCCATTGTCATTGGGGTGCTATACTGCATATCACCATTGCTAATAATAATGAGTTTAACAGTCATGTAAGCGGGATGGGTCGAAATGGCCTGTTCATGCGGTGCATATTGATTGACGAAGCGATCATAGTTCGGAAATAATCACTATATATGTACTAGTGTATATATAAATGGTGTGAATAGTCCACCAGGATCTCAGGTACTTGTGTGGTTGCACCACAGGATTGAGCCGAACTGTTCATGTATAGAAATGATAACACGTGAGCCAGTCCCCTTGGTTCTCTTGAAAACCATCAATGTAAATTAACCCTTGACTTTTGAGGGTTAATTTATTGAATTATGAATAAAATAAATTTTTGAAACCATATATCGATCATTGTTAGACCACCATCATTAGAAACCTAGAAGCCACTGAAAGACGGCCGTTTCATCCCGGCATGGGACTCATCAGCAGTGCGCATCCACGACTCCTGCACTCCGCAGGATTCGAACCCAGGACCTTCGGTATTAACATCGTTAGATACTGGCTCAGTTGTCTAACGGTTAGGGCGTTCGCGCACAATACCGAAGGTCCTGGTTTCGAATCCTACGGGGTGCAGGAGTTGTGGATGCGCACTTCTGATGAGTCCCGTGCCGGGATGAAACGGCCGTCTTTCAGTGGCTTCTAGGTTTCTAATGATGGTGGTCTAACAATGATCGATATATGGTTTCAAAAATGTGCTGTAACTTAACAATCTTCACAACAACCCCGTAATAAAATAAATATCATATTATTATTATTATTATTATTATTATTATTGCTATTTTTAGAACACAACCAAACCCGATATTTCATAATCCAGATGAAGAGGTGAAAAAAGATGATACACCTGTTTGGAAAAAACAAAAATTAGCATAGACAGTTTTTTTTTCAAATTGTGTGTGAATAAATCAATGCACTCCTTTTTTGCTTTTTTTCTGTCTGTCTATCTCTCTCTGCCTCTCTGCGCCTGTCTCTCTCTCTGCATCTGTCTGCCTCTCTTTATATTCACATTGTATCATACATATTGTGTAACATTTCTTCGAATAACATCTAGAAATAAATAAATTTTATCCTGTTTTTTCAAAAAAAGACATTTCAACATTTTTTGTTTTCAACTGTTTTTTTATTTCTACTTTTTTGAATGATGCCAAATCCAATGAACACATCTTGTAAATAGTTCTCATTCAAATTTGCAAGCGTGCGCGCGCGCGCGCGAGCTCTCTCTTTTTGTTTTAAAAAAACAAGAATGATTTCCTAAATTCAAGATATGTATGGGAAAAAAATGAACATGTACATGACGACGTGTAAAACACATTAAGTTTTTTTGTTTTTTTTTTACTGATTTTGACAAGTTATATAAATGAAAATTATGTTTTATTATTGCTGTTTTTTTTCTAATGCTTTCAAAGGTTGTGTGAACTAGTTCGGAAAATAGGTTGAAATATAACCTAATATGTTAGTATGCTCTTATTATCTGTCTGTTTATTCATCTACATGGGAACAGAATAATTTTTTGTCGAAAAATTTCTGTACTACTTACTAATTTGTTGTTAGGATGTTCATTTAATATCCTAAGAGAATTATTGGTTAATTCCTACTGGTCAATTTTATGGTCGTCCTAGATATCAATGTCACGTACTCCAATGTTGTTTCTTATTGGTTGTCCTGACTATCAATGTCACTTCAAATTTTGCTTCCTATTGGTCGTCTTCATTGTCAATGTCACAGACTTCGATGCTGTTTCCTATTCGATCAAAATGTATAAATACGCATTATCTGTAACACTTTATGACCACGACCAGGACCCGGACCCGGATCCCTAGTCATGGATCCTGATTCTCTCCTGGACTCGGACCTCTTAATTTCTGGATGCTTGTAGAATACGAGTTCTACTTCATAACAAGTCCTCTTATTTTTACTCAATATTGGGGTTTGGGATAATCGGATTTGAGTAGTATGTCGTGTCGCCTGATCCTCAATCCTCGCTCTCGTTTTCCGACTAGGTAAACTCGTAATAGTCGAAGCATATCAAATTGACGTGTTTACGTGCAGGCGTATCACTTGTCTCCGTTAGTTAACTAAAAGATGAGTCTACTAATTCATCAGTTCTCTCTGTTCTATTGTGTGGCTGTAAAATATTATCTCAAAATTGAATTGAACAGACTAACAAAATGTACAACTGAAGGAATCAACAAGGACATATTACTAATGTATACATGGAGGGATTTTCACAAATAAAGCCTCTAAAAAATGGATCTTACACTAAGTTCTACTCTGTAACTGATTGACTATCTTCTCTAACTTGCTAATATGCAAGTATAATTCTTACAGTTTCTTCAATTCAACTCAGAATTTGACTCATTCTATCTTTGAGACATACATTCCAATTTGTGTGACTTCAATCAAGCACTTTACAGCTTCAGCTGACCTGTGTTCTCCAGTCTACTCTATCCTGGGTTTCCCTTTCCAGTTCTGTCCAATTTTTGTTCATTCTTCTTCTTATATCTTTCTCTATTTCTCGGCGTAATATGTTCTTTCGCCTTCCTCTTTTACTTTTACCTTGAGAGTTCCATGTGAGGGCTTGTTTTGTGACGCAGTTAGGTGCTTTCCGCAATGTGTGTCCTATCCACTTCCACCGCTTTTTTCTGATTTACTAAACCACTGGAATCTGGTTTGTTCTCTCCCACGATAAACAATTGTATCTTCTGAATGATGGCTTTGGTAGTTCTCCAAGTTTTCGCTCCATACAGTAGAACTGTCTTGACATTTGTATTGAAAAATTTATCTACATGGGAGTACTATATAATCGGAACAGAATAATTTTTGTCGAGAAATTTCTACTTACTACTTACTTACTAACTTGTCTCCGTTAGTTAACTAAAAGATGAGTCTAATAATGCATCAGTTCCCTATGTTCTGCTCTGTGGCTGTAAAATATGGCCAGTAAGAGTAGAGGATATTCGCAGGTTACTAGTTTTCAACCATAGGTATCTTCGAAGCATTGCTCGTGTATTCTGAGATCACTGTGTAAACAATGCTGTGATTAGGAATAGGGTACTTGTTAATGGGACATAAATTCAATTAAAGCATGGTTGCGTCGTTGCACGCTGATTGGCTCTTTCATATCCAATCAGCGCTAGCCGATACTGGGGGAACATTCTAGAATCTTCTTATGTATACTAATATGTTTTGAACTTCTCTGTCTTCCATCTAACCTTGTTTTGGGAATATAATCTATATTACCTGTTGTTTAACGGTGTTCTGATTTTGGGGAGAACGTCTCGAGTGAATTGGTGTCCGAGAATACTAAGCATTAGGAATAGCTCGGTTGTAATATAAAGAGAGAATTATAACAGTACTATATAAGGATGGCAGATCAATAGATGAAATATTGGAACTTCATCAGTTGAGGTGGTTGGGACATGTATTGTTTATGCTCAGTCATCACCCGCCTTGACATGCGATATTGTCTGAAAGAAAGCTAGGAATGGTTAAACTAAATTATCACAAAAGTTCATGAAGTCATTGGCGATTGGACTGAGCTAGGTTAATAGTTGTAGACTACATCGTTGGAGGCAAACGTAACTGGTGGCTAGAGACTGCAAGTAACATTGCTCGAAATTATTTGTAATGGCACAGATACATCCATTCTAATTTTATTTCGCTCGGTTATACTACTAGAATCATATCTTCGATTGCTAATCTTTTCGATTAACGTTATTACTGCTACTTCCTCTACTACTATATGATTTGAGTTGACAATTCAATCTGTGTCCTAATGTAGTATGGCAAACTGAACTGATGTAAGTAGGTACGTACTAAGTGTAGGATCCAAACTAAGGTTTGGACTAAGGAATAACTATCTAGGTTGTTTAGATATGTGCCTTGTCCAGTTTAAAACCAAAACAAGTGGTTTGAGTAAATGATGGTTCGAATATTCATCATAAATATAAATATACATCATTAACTAAACAAATATTACCACTTAGTTATTCCTTCAATAATTGTTCAATTAATCAAATCCGCAACAGCAACAAATAACTGATATTCTATCCCTGATGGATAGATCAGATTCCTTTAAAAGATAATTTTTGGTTGCTTCATAACACAGAGTGCTTCTTATTCTGGAGGAGTGCTTTAATTTGCAATCAACATGCACAATTCCAGTCAATGCAACCGACAAAATCAAAAGAAGAACAAATCAATACGGCTAACCGATGGGCCACTGAGCCGGTATCTAATGGTGGTCCATCGGTTAGGCGTTCGCGCACAATACCGAATGTCCTGAGTTCGAACCCTTGGGGTGCAGGAATCGTGTATGCGCACTGCTAAGGAGTCCAATACCATGACGAAACGGCCGTCTTTCAGTGCTTCCAGGTTTCTAATGGTAGTTCAACATTGATCGATTCATGGTTTCAAAAATGTATAACTTAACAATCTTCACAACCCCGTAATACAAATTACCTGTGCCCACTAGTGACTAGCTTCGTGAGGAATGTTCTCTGAGTTCTGGTGGGAAGACTTGACCAGTGAAGTTCAACCTGTTCGGGTGTAGACAGTAACTACCGAAGACTGTGTATGAGGTTGCGCAACCCCTCTAATTTGATCAAGTTAGACATTAACACCGTTAGATACTGGCTCAGTGATTCTTCAGTTGTAAATCATTTTCTATTCACAATCGATAATACTATAATCTACACACAAATCGTAGAACCAAGATGACAGACAGTGTTTGTTATATTATGTACAAAATGTAACAGTTTAAATTTATTTTGATACCTTTCGATTGAATAATGTCACAGGCGTACTTACCACTAACTTAGTTTTGATGTCATCTTGATTTTCCATATTAAAAGAAGTTGATTTGAACTTTGTCATTGATAGTAGAATTCTAGTAAAAAGAAGATTGCTGATAAACTCATTCAACGCATATGTACGAACAGAGGATGCTTCTTGCTAATAACTAATTCCCATCAAGTTCTCTGGTTATACTGTAGTGAAGGAGAACACAGGTGGGGCAACCGAATTGTATTTAACGAAAATTACAACAGAGTTACTCAGTAAAATCGGAAAACCATATCGTAAATCGTTCATTTGCAAAATATTAGTTCATCATATTGAACTTGACTGTTCCTGTTGCAAAACATCAATCCACTGTCACTCATTATTCATGCGTTTCATACACAAATTCCATTGTGTTCTTCTAACTCTTCCTTTCTTGATCTTCCCCCATCTTCTGCTGCCAGACATTACGTTGATGCCCACGTCATATACTACTAATAAGTAGCTCACACCACAATACTTACAAATTAATGATTCAGAAAAAAATGGTCAAGTTTTGCGGCAAATAGGTTCGTTATATAAAACGGCGAAATTCACATCACTTTATATTAAAATAGTTGATCTGATTTTTAATTTTTTTACCTGGTTATTTTACATGCTTTATTTATACTACTCATAATAAACAATAAAGTAGTCAAACAATCCGAATGCTAACTATATCTTAGCTGACAAAAGAATGATCAAATCATCATCATAGATAGATAGATAGTAGTGTAGTGAACGAGTACACAGGTGGGGCAACCGAATTGTATTTGACGAAAATTACAGAGTTACTTAGCAAAAAAGGGAAAACAATATCGTAAACCGTTAATTTGCAAAATATCAGTTCATCATATCGAACTGGACTGTTCCTGTTGCAAAACATCAATCCATTGTCACTATTCATGCGTTTCATACAAATTCCATTGTGTTCCCACTCTTCCTTCCTTGATCTTCCCCCGCATCTTCTGCTGCCAGACATTACGTCTTCACTCGTGTCATATACTACTTATAAGTAGCGCGTACCACAGTAGAATCAAGAATGTGAGTTTAGACCTATGTGGGATTCTTCTTTGGCTAGATATATCTGAGTTTCTGAGATGATTTCCTCTTCAAGATGCAGGTGTATATTAAGTTGAAGAGTCTGAACTAGGACGAACCGTGCATCCTAGACTCCACCTCTGCTAATAATGCTTGTAACCTAACGCCAATCTGCACAAAAATGCACATATGCCAAAAGAGACTGACGACTGATCAATTGCAGACTTGATCATCCATCAGTGAGAAGATTCAAATCATCGACATCAATGAATTCTAGACATTGTTTACTACTTATTATTCCCTCGCTACTTGATGAATAGCTTATCATTAAATTTCAGCTATGAAACTGAGTTACTCCTTTGTATATCTGCACCAGTGTAAACTTTATCTTCAAACTTCTATTTGAAAAATAAGTAGATTATTCGTTGTCTCAATTTACATGTTCTTTGATCTTTAGAACACTTTGATTGTGTCAACAACACTCTTCCCTTCTTTAGTATCTCCGCCACATACTACTTATATGCCGCGTTGTGAGTAGTATCCACTACACCAGGATTACTACACCTTGTTCACTACTATAAGATACAGATTTTCCATTCGAATCCTAATCACTAACTATGACAATCTCAATAACTCACTTATAAAATATCCGTTACGATCTCGAACGACGCCAAAACAATGTTTTTAGAAGATTAACACAGAATTTGATTTTGCAGTAGAAAATCGTGTTCTATCAAAAAAAAATCGATGCAATCCATGTATGGGAAGGTGACGGATATGACTGAGAGCAACAGAGAGAGAAAGTATACGCGGGAATCAATGGGATTTTCTTACCCATTGAGTGGGAGTAACTATGACTCTCTTAAGGTAGCCAAATGCCTCGTCATCTAATTGAGTGGGTATATTAGGTGACGCGCATAAATGGAGCCTTTTGGGGATTGTGGTGACGGCTACCTCTTTGTGGTCCTGCCAGGCAACGTGGCGTTGCTTGCAGCCCTGCAGCTAAAAGCCGTTCCGAACGCTTAGGATACCGTGCCTAGCATGGTCCAGAACGACGGTGCGTGTTCATGGTGGCAAGACTGTGGATGCGATTGGCCACTCTGGGGGATTAGGACTGAACGTCTCTAAGTCTGAATCCCGTCCAATAAGCGTAGGTAAATTCCGATAATGGTTTGAGGACTTGTCCTCTATCATTCCGTAGTATCAAATACCTTGAAAGAGATGTAGCATTCCAGGATGATTGAAGGCGGCCCTGGGACGTTCTGTTTGGGGAAACAGCCGTAGACATCCTGGACTATTGACGCCGACCCTATGTGGTTGTCCTTTACACTCTGCACCCGACGTAGTGTGTGAACTGGCGTCGAGGCCCATTAAACAAAGGTCTCCAGTAGGGTTCCGTGGTTCCAGTGCTGAACTGGTACTGGACGCCAATGACGTCTGCCCACTTACGTAGTGGGATGAACACTGTTTGGCTGAGCGCTTGCACTAGGTCGAGCTCATGACATCTTCCTCATGGGAGTGTGTGCGTTCCGGCTGACCTTGTGGGACGAACTCGATCTTTAGCTTCATGTGGGGCCTTGGGGACTCCGATCGACTGTATCAGCGCAAGGCAGTGGCTCGTTAATCCGCTTCGGGGTGCCAGGTCCAGCTGGGTAAGCCCGCCTTGCCAATTAGGGATTGTGGGTAGTGGACTGGTTGAAGGGATCTTCTCATGTGCGTGCTCTTCGGACGTGCACCTGCCTGAAGATCAAACTGGACAACATGTATATTCCCGATTGGGGCAGAGGTAATTACTGTTGGCTACAGTGAGAATCCTTGTGTTGCCTAAAAAGCAGCGATGTACATGTGCAGCAGGCTTGTTAGTTAACCATGACTAGAGAGAGAGAGAGAGAGAGTATACGGGGTAATCCATGGGTTTTTTTTAACTGTTGAATTAGATTGAAGATGTATGAGCAGTAGTACATGATTTCGCTCTCGCCTATTTGTATTTTACAGAATTACCTATTTATTTTTGTCAACTTGTTTTTCACTGTATTCTTGTGTTACTTAAGTTTTATCTATACAAAGAAGGCACGGATACAAAAAGCTCGATTGGCTTTTGCCAACCTGCGTCACTTATGGCGAAGGCGTGATATCCGTTCGCTAACCAAAGGACGGGTGTACTGCGCAACAGTTCGCTCCGTTCTCCTATATGACTGTGAAACATGGCCGTTAAGAGTAGAATATGTTCGTAGGTAACTAGTATTCGATCATAGGTGCATCCGAAGCATTGTTCGTATACCGTGGGACAACCGAGTAAACAATGCTATCGTTAGGAAACGAGTTCTAGGTATGGATGGCAAATCAATAGATGAAGTAGTGAAACTTCCTCAGTTGAGGTGGTTGGGACATGTGTTACGTATGCCCAAACACCGACTGCCGCGACGAGCTATGTTTTTTGGTGTAGGAGTAGGTTGGAAGAAGGCTAAGGGCGGCCAGACCAAAACATGGCACAAATTCATGAAGTCATTGACTAGTGGACTGAGTCATGTTGGTAGATGTAGACTACCTGGTTTGGGTCCGCGAGACGAAAGTCACCAATGGTTAGAGACCTTGAACGACATGGATCAAAATCGTTTTCAATGGCTCAAGTGCATCCATTCACTGAGCTCTCTCAAATCCTAATCTTCTGTATTCGTCAGCACCTCTAACTTTGTCTTTCTAACTTTATCTCACTGAATTATACTTCTTGAATAATATTTTCGAACTCAAGTCTTCTTCATTACCATTAATACCTCTACTATCTTAATCACTATGGGATTCGAACTGACAATTACATCTCTGTGCCCATGTGGTATGGCAACATGAACTTATGTACATACGTACGATGTTCTACGTTGCAACTGACTGACTGACTGACTATACAAAGAACTGCACCAATTACACATCACATCATCGTCACAGTTATTTGATTGACTTTGAAAACAATTGAACATTTAAAAAAATTTTAATCAATTCAATTTGATGTTGTTTATTATATATATTTATATATTTATATTTATATATTTTAGAAAAATAAATAAATCATTTCGAATTGATGATGATGGTGTGTGTCGTTTTTAAATTGTTTGCGAAATTCCAAGTTTTTTGTGTACACACATGTCCGGCTGCGGTTGGAGAGACACACAGACACACACCACACACACTTACATGGAAGGCCAATCACAGTGAAGAGGAGTGTATGTGTAAAAAAAATTATTTATAAATGGAGGCTGACATATTTTTGTTTTATACCGATCTTCTCACTTAGCATCATTGATCAGCGTGATATTTTGGTTTTTGGCAATTATATTTATTCACGTTTAAATAAACTTCGTATTGTTGTGGAACGTCTTCGTTGAGAACCAGTTGGTGGACCAGTTGATGATGAAGTTGATGAGGGCATAAAATGATCACCACCGCCAACAATACCAACATCAGTATCATGTGGATTATTAGTATAAGTTGTTTCGTAATCTTTGCTTAAATTACTTTTTCTCTAAGAAAAAAAAGATTGAAGGAAAAAACTTGAGAATTATGTAACTCAACATATTAAATTGTTATAAAATTGTTGAAAGTTAGACACATGAACAGTGTTGGATGCTGCCGGCTCGATGGGCCAGAAGTTAAGCATTCATACACAGGGTCGAAGGTCTCAGCTTCGATTCCTGCGAGGTGCAGAAGTCATGGATGTGCACTGCCACTGTGATGAGTCCCATCAGTCAGCCAGTCAGTCAGTCAGATGCAACGTAGAACTTTGTACGTAAGTACATCAGTTCATGTTGCCATACCACACTATTAGCACAGAGATGTAATTGTCAATTCAGATCCCATAGAAGAAGAGGTAGTAAAGGTATTAGAAGTAATCGGAGAGGTTAGGATTAGAAGATATTATTCAAGAAGTATGATTCAGTGAGAAAAGTTCAGGAAGTCAAAACTAGAGTTGTTGAAGAATCCATAAGATTAGGATTTGAGAGAACACAAAGCATAAATGCACCGGCGCCATTGCGAACGATTTTGAGCCATGTCATTCAAGGTCTCTAACCATCGATTATTATCATCTCGCGGACCCCAACCAGGTGGTAGTCGACAATTACCGACATGGCTAAGTCCACTACTCGTCAATGACTTCATGGATTTGTGCCATGTTTTGGTTTGGCCGCCCCTAACTTTCTTTCAACCTATTCCCATACTACAAAACATAGGTCGTCGAGGCAGTCGGTGGGTAGGCATACACAGCACATGTCCCAACCACCTCAACTGATGAAGTTTCATTACTTCATCTATTGATCTGCCATCCTTACCTAGCACCCGATTCCTAATAACAGCGTTGCTTACTCGGGTGTCCCACGATATACGATCAATGCTTCGAAGACACCTATGATCGAAAGCCAATAACCGACGAATATCTTCGATGAGTCCCATACTAGGACAAAACGGCCGTCTATTAGTTCTTCTTGCAGGTTTCCAACGGTGGTCTAACAATGAATGATTCGTTCGTGATTTCAATGAAAATAATTAGACTTATTCACTTGTTGATTAAGATGGTCAAGTCTAGAGCACTAAGCTATTGAAAAAAAGTATTAACTGCAGCATAGAAAATGTCAAACTCTGAACGTTGACTTCACAACCATGATATCAATCTGTGGTGGCCGATTACTGCGTGTCCTTTTGAAGCTTCGTGATTATTAGCTCGTCCAGACACAATCGTTACTAACTAAATCAGAAGGTGAACTCAAAGTGTTGAATATGTTTATTTTTGGCACACGCCACAAATAGAACAGTAGACTATAAGCGCTAAAAGATAAAATCGTCATGCGAGAGCCGGAAAGCAAGCAAGCAAGCAAGCGAGTGAATAGGTGAATGAACGGATGCAGTGATGTGGAGAAGGCTAGTGAGCCAACTCCTTGGATTACAATACGAACGAATGGGTGAAGGAAGCGGATGAACAGGCGAAGCGCGTTGGAGAAGGCTAACGAGCCAATTCCAAGAGATAGAGAGCATGACTAAGAATATATAGTCAGACAAATATAAGACAGACATGTGACCAACGAGATAAGCATGTACACACATGAATAAAAGCGACGAATGGTTGATAAGGTCAAAAGACAAGTGAAACGAGAGTCATGTGAGCTCATACAAACCAGACAATAATAATAAGAACGAATGGTACATATAAATTGTTGCAATACACAAATGGCTTAATTAAATAAATTAATCGAAAGGGCTTAACCAAATTTTAAATGTAAGCGAACTCGAATACATGTGGACGACGCACTACAGATCAATGCATTGTAGTCATAGCAGTTAGTACGTATTACAACTTCGACATTCTCTGTGTACATATTCCAAAGAAGCGATCTACACTAAATCGTGAAACGTCAGAAACCCACTTGTTTTTTCTAATCATTGAGAAGTTGTGAATATAATTATTATTTCGTTTAGAAATCATGAATCAATCAGTGTTGGAACACCATTAGAAACTTGGAAGCACTGAAAGACGGCAGTTTCGTTGGATGCTGGCTAAATGGTCCAGAGGTTAAGCATTCACGAGCAAGGTCGAAGGTCTTAGGTTCGATTCCTTAGAGTAGTCAGTCAGTTGCAACGTAGAACGACTTACGTATGTACATAAGTTCATGTTGCCATACCACATGAGCACAGAGATGTAATTGTCAGTTCAAATCCCATAGTGAGGTATTAATGGTAATGAAGAAGACTGGGGTTTGAAGATATTATTCAAGAAGTATAATTCAGTGAGATAAGATTAGAGAGACAAAGGTAGATGTGCTGACGAATCCAGAAGATTAGGATTTGAGAGAACACAACGAATGGATGCACTTGCGCCATTGAAAACGATTTTGAGCCATGTCGTTCAAGGCCTCTCTCTAACCATTGGTGACTTTCGTCCCGCGAACCCAAACCAGGTAGTCTACATCTATCAACATGACTCAATCCACTTGTCAGTGACTTCATGGATTTGTGAAATGTTTTGGTCTGACCGCCCTTAGCTTTCTTCCAACCTACTCTCACACCACAAAACATAGCTCGTCGAGGCAGTCGGTGGTTAGTCATACGTAACACATGTCCCAACCACCTCAACTGATGAAGTTTCATTACTTCATCTATTGATCTGCCATCCTTACCTATTACTCGTTTCCTAACGACAGCATTGCTTACTCGGTTGTCCCACGATATACGAGCAATTCTTCGAAGACATCTATGATCGAATACTAGTAACTTACGAATATCTTCAACTCTTAACGGCCATGTTTCCCATCCATATAGGAGAACGGAGCGAACTGCTGCGCAGTACACTCGTCCTTTGGTTAGCGAACGGATATCACGCCTACGCTATAAGTGACGCAGGTTGGCAAAAGCTAATCGAGCTTTCTGTATCCTTACTGAGATTTTGTCAGTCGCCAGGCCATCACCACTACTGATGAGACTCCCTAGATAAGTGAACTGATCAACACGCTCAACTACTTCAGTTCCTATCAGTAGTTCAGGTACCGATGCAACCCAGTCTTGAAGCAACATTTTGTATTTCGAGGGGGATGGAAACCGCATCCCGAACATGCTTGCATTGTCCTTACAGTAGTAGGAGTCATGGATGAGCACTATACCATGACAAAACAGCTGTCTTTCAGTGCTTCTTACAGGTTTCTAATGATAGTTAGTCTAACAATGAATGATTCATTGATGATTTCAAATGTGTATAACATAACTAGACTGTTTATCTATTTTTTTAAAAAAAACAAAAAATCTACAAATCCTCATTTTATAATTACACCAATATTGTGGTATTCTCATATTCCTTTTGATTAATTATGCATACACCCACACACACACACACAAACGTACTGTACATGGTATTCTATGTAAAATAAGGAGAGAAATTCAAATGGAATGATCAGTATTACCAAAAAAAACAACAAGGATTTACTTATTAAAAACGCCTGTTTTTAACCCTAACCCTAGTGAAGCAAGCGTATAGGCCGTCAACCAGTGGTGTAATGAAAAAAAAATGCAGGATAACAGACAGACATAAAAATGCTTATAATTATCTGTTATGCTAAGAACATTGTTATAATGACCATTTCACTGAATGATTATTATCAAAACAGTCTTTTACAGCATTGTAAATGCAAGAGATTATGTAATTAAGATAGGAAAATTGCCAACCAAGCGTCTATGATAATGATGGTACATATAGTCTCATTTATCGTGATTATTAAATTAGGTAGGGATTATTGAGATTTGTGTGTGTTTTCTCTTTCTCTCTCTCTATCTCTCAATTTTATTTTGTGATAATTACATTTTCCTGTTTATGTATCAAATTCACTGTCGAAAAATTTTTTTTAACAAAAAAAAATGAATTACGGGGTTGTGAAGATTGTGAAGTTAAACAAATTTTTTGAAACCATGAATCGATCAATGTTAGATCACACCATTAGAGAAACCTGGAAGCACTGGACGGCCGTTTCGTCCTGGTATGGTGGTCTAACATTGATCGATTCATGGTTTTAAAAAATGTGTAACTTCACAATCTTCACTACAACCCCGTAATGCAAATTACCTGTGCTCACTAGTGACTAGCTTCGTGAGGAATCTTCTCCGAGTTCTAGTGAGTGGGGAGACGTGACCAGTGAAGTTCAACCTGTTCGGGTGAAGGCAGTAACCACCGAAGACTGTGTATGAGGTTGCGCAACTCCGTGAATTTGATCAAGTTAGACATTAACACCGTTAGATACCGGCTCAGTGGTCCAGTAGTTAGGCGTTCTCGCACAATACCGAAGGTCCAGGGTTCGAATGCTGCGGGGTGCAGGAGTCGTGGATGCGCCCTCCTGACGAGTCCCATACCAAGACGAAAAGGTCATCCAGTGCTTCCAGGTTCCTAATGGTGGTCTAACATTGATCGATTCGTGGTTTCAAAAAAAATGAATACCATCGGTGGAACATATGAATTGATCAATGTTAGATCATCAGTAGAAATCTGGAAGATGCACTGAAAGACGACAGTTTCGTCATGGTTTGGGACTCATCAGTGTCAGTGCGTGTCCACGACTCCTACTACTCGAAGAAATCGAACTCAGTGAGTAACTTAACAATCTCCACAACCCACTTATGCAGTTTATTTACTTTTCTGTTTAGTCAAATAAAAGTTTTTAAGAAGTACTTCAAATCTGACTAACGGTTGTTAACTGCTGACATATTCAGAAAGATAACATTGACTTGAAGTTTAACGCTCAAGAGTGTATACAATTCATAAGATAAATACAAAATGTTAAATGACGTTTATTCTCACACCACACCGATTACAAAACTAAAGACATACGAATTGAAAGTGAAATTATATACAATTGCCAAGGAGTGAAGTGATAGGATTACAACCTGGAAGCACTAGGCAGGTGTTTCGCTCTGGTATGGGACTCATCAGCAGTACACAATCACGACTCCCGCTTTTTGCAGAAATCGAAACTAGGACCTTTGGTATTGTGTGAAAATGCTTAACCACTGGATCACAGAGCTGGCATTTAACAAAAAACAACCGTCCAGTGCTTACATGTTTCTAATGATGATCTAACATTGACGGATTCATGACTTCATTTTTAACTCAACAATCTTCACAGCCTTATAATTCAAATTATCATGTACTCATAAGTGACTAGCTCCTTAAGGAAGTTTATCTGAGGTCTGGTGACAAGATGTGACCAGTGGAGTTCACCACTGTCAAGTGCAGGCAGTAAATATTGAAGACATTTCTATTGCTTGAAGTTAGACGTTAACACCGTTGGATGCCACGGACTCAGTGGTCCAAAGGTTGAGTGAGCGTTCGCAAGCAAGACCGAAGGTCCTAGGTTTTATTCCTGTTAACGGATTCATGGATGTGCAATGCTGATGAGTTGCATACTTGTAGGGTTCGTCACTAGGTACGCTTAAAGCTATTACGAGTTCACCTTAGTTGATAAACACGAACGAGACAATGAACAAGCGTCCAGTTAGGCTACCTTAATCCCAAAACTGAAAAACAGAAGACTTGATAAGCGTAGAAAGTATATTCTACAAACACCCACCAATCACAATACAATCAAACACACAACTCTCGTTTATTTATACATCATAGAAACGTCCTTGCGACAGTTACGAAAATAGCACACTACTAAAATACACAGCAGCCAATCACAGCCATGGATTTTCGTGGTGGGAAATGAAATCTCAAGGTCAACTGATCAGCCCATGCTGGCAAACGTGAAATCCACAAGTAAGGCATTTTTATCAAGCGAGTTCTGGGGGGATCTAACATCCCCAACAATACTAGAACGAAATGACCGTCCAATGCTTCTAGGTTTCTTTTAATAGTAGTCTAACACTGATTTATTTATGATTTCCTATAAAGCATAGTATCATTATTCTTATTACTGTAATAAATAAACCACCTAAGATTGAAAAAAGACACATTATATTTGTAAGTGTCAACGATTAAAATCAAATTCATCTCAACGCTCCTGTTGTTATTCTGTTTCTAGTGAAATATTGGCGTTATAATTTGGTTTCACTCATTGAGATTTTTTACAAATATAATTCATTTTCCATAATATCTTCTATGAAAATTCAATTATTATGAAAGGTTTTGTTGATGGAGATTGTTGGTGATTACTGAAATCATGAATCAATCATCGTGAGACTACCATTACAAAATTCCTGCAAGAAGCACTGAAACACGGCCGTTTCATCCTGGTATTGGACTGTTCAACAGTACGCATCCAGGACTATAGCTATTCGCGGAAATCGAACCCGGGACCTTGCGTGCGAACGCCTGAACTATGGATCACCACCTAGTCAACCGGCATCTAGGTGTTAGGATATTCATCCAATATCCTAACAGAATTATTTTTGAAGTCTAATTCTATTGGTCAATTACTACTGGTCAATTTTATGGTCGTCCTAGATATCAATGTCACTTCAAATGTTGCTTCCTATTGGTCGTCTTAACTGTCAATGTCACAGAGTTCGATGTTGTTTCCTATTCGACCAAAATGGATAAATACTCATTATCTGTAACGTTTTATGACCACGACCAGGACCAGGACCCGGACCTGGATCCCTAGTCTGAGATCCTGGTTCTCTTCTGGATTCGGACCTTGTAATTTCTGGATACTTGTAGAATACAGGTTCTACTTCATCATATCATGTCTTCTTATTTCAACTAAATATGGGGGTCGGAATAATCGCATTTGAGTAACATGTCGTGTCACCAGATCCTCGTTCTCGTTTCCGACTAGGTAAACAACTCATAATAGTTCAAGTATGCATATCAAGTTGACGTATTTACTTGCAGGCGTAACAAATTTACTACTGAAAAATTGCTTTATATATCCCCACTTACACTTGTTTCCGATTTCATGCTTCTATTATAATTATTGATATTTTGAAATTGACCTGGATGATTCGGCCGAGTTTGTACACGTAATGCTGGATTGTTATTAATACTGTTGTTATTATTACTGTTCAAATCATTTGAGTACAACTGATTTCTATTATGTTGATGATGTGTCATCGCTGGATTGGTTGACAGTGTGTGCAATTCATAATCACGTGATGATTGTTGATTAGTAGGTGATAATGGAGTTGAGGCGAAAATTGGCGGATTTTTCTGTTCATTTAAATAATAAGCAGCATCATTTGTACATGATTGTAAAAAATTTGAAGGCACAAGACCAAAACGACCATCTTTTGTTGTACCATAATAAAATCCATCATCATCCATACTACCATAGACAGTGATTTGTTCACCTGATCGAAATGATAATTCAGCCTAAAATATCAAAAAAACAACAGTATAAATGAGGTATTTAGTTCTTTCAATGTTCAATAAATACATTTTCATGATAGAATGTTTTGTTATACGTTGATTTCTAGCGGAGGTAGAAAGTTAGTTGTGGAGAGAAGAGAGAGGTATGTATGGGTGTAGGAAGGATTTGATTTCGACTAGTTTGGTCTCGTATGCTGCTGTTACGGGTATGAGGGCGGTTGTCACTTCACGGATGCTCACATCGTGGAAGGTTGTTTCTTGAGGAACCTGAAAAGGTAGATAGATTAGTGTTGGTGCGTGACCGCAGAGTCCAAGGGACAACTGCTTGAGGCCGGTCATGCACGACCTTTATATGAAAGGTTTTTTGAGTATTAGATCCGCTCGTGATAGCCCTTAGTGGGCACCCTTACCGCCACAGACGGAAATCCGTGAGGTAGGGTGAGGTGTGACAACATTTTCTAACTCTTCCTTCCTAGTGAGAAGGCAGCATCGCTGCAGATGCTGGTTGTCCGAAGGAAACGCCTTACTGCTGTCACACCTCTCTGCAGTCAGCAGTACGACTTCGCCCTCAGACGTTGAGTAGTTGCTTTTAGTCTCATCATTTTCCAATCGACCTGCCTGGCATGGTAGGACCTTCAGGAACATACGTTGCAGCCAATATAGCTCGGTTGGGTCATGACGATAGGCAAGCCCGACCACTACGTCAAGGTAGCAGCTACGGTCGAGAGCGGAGGCAGAAATCAGGAAGAGGCGCTGGACACCCAACTGCATCACAAGACAAACCCTCACTTAAGATTCTCAAGGCCAACAGAAAAGAGGAAAGCCAATGAACACATTATGTCGAGCAATGGAGACAGACATGAGAAAAATAAACAGAAATTCAATAGAACTTGAAAGGAAGCGATAGGACGGAGTAGATTAGAGAATGCTCGTCAGTGGCCTATGCTTCATTGGGGGGTAACAGGCGAAAGTAAATAAGTAAGTAATTGTACAGAGTTAGTTAGTTAGTGAGTTAATTTTAGTCAAGTTGTTTAAAAAATATTTGGCGTAAATTCACTACATGTCTTGAACTTGACTTTCATTGATAACTAATGCACCTCACACTATAACTAAACGGACAATTCGATCGAGTTGATCTTGAAGTGAAACATTTAATTTTTGATAATCACCATTAGTGATTAACTTGAATAATGAATAACTAAATTGGTTCATAGTCTTGATATTACAAACAAATTGATTTCAACCAGCTAATCATTGAAAATTATGAAAACGTCGACATCTGGAGGGAAGCACGGTATCAACTGGACAGTTAGGACGCAGCTGGACGATCTGGAGGACGTTAACACCTTTACATATCTGGGCAGCATCATCGACAACCAAGGTGGAACCGATGCAGATGTAAGGGTGCGGATTGGAAAAGCAAGAGCTACATTTCTACAGTTGAAAAATATCTGAAACCCCAAACAATTTTCAACCAAAACCAAAATCAGGATTCTCAATACAAATGTCAAGACAGTTCTACTGTATGGAGCGGAAACTCGGAGAACTACCAAAGCCATCATCCAGAAGATACAAGTATTTATGAACAGTTGTCTACGCAAAATACTGAGGATTCGTTGGCCAGACATTATCAGCAACAACGTACTGTGGGAGAGAACAAACCAGATTCTAGTGGAGGACACACATTACGAAAAGCACCTAACTGCGTCACAAGACAAGCCCTCACATGGAACCCTCAAGGTAAAAGGAAAAGATGAAGGCCAATGAACACATTACGCCAACAAATGGAATGAACAAAAATTGGACAGAATTGGAAAGGGAAGCCCAGAATAGAAGAGTTGGTTGGAGAAATCTGGTGGGTGGCTTATGCTACATTAGGGGTAACAGGCGTAAGTAAGTAAGTAAGTAATCATTGGAAATTCTATCCAGCGTTATATTATCTATTGCTTAGTACTGATCCAGTTTTATTGATCGGTTTCGCAATCTAGTTTTTAGACTAGATGATGACTGGAAATCAAAGAACATTTTATCATGTGTTAGATATTTGAAGATGATATACGTCAAGTTATGAGACTATAGTCTTAGACTAGTTAGTGCTAATTGGTAAGACGCAGCCATCTTCTGTATTCGGTAATTCCTGTTAAACAATTCAACAAGGCATTAGATCTTACTTGTATAGTTATGGTTACGTGTTTTGATGCACAAAAAAACAAAATGGCGGGAATTTATGTGCGCCGATAATCGGCACCACTAAAATTACACATAAACCAAGTTAACTAAAATCGATTAACGCAACGCCTGAGTTTTCGGCTTACTGGAAGCTAGTTCTAATTGTCTAACATTAGTTTAATTAAAAATTCGTTTTTACTTTTATTACGTAGATTGTAGTGTGTGTACCAGTTTGTTGAGTCGACATGGCTTGTCCTAGCTTTTGGACAAAGTAATTAACCCTTTCTGCCCGAGTTCTCATACATACATCTTGCGACCGTGTAAATTGTGGTAGTGTTTCGTTCTCTGAGCTGGATGTTTTGGTCGTGAACACTAATTAGCAGTCAAACGCCACGACAATTCTCCGCTCATATCAATACATACCGACAATTATGGACATACATTTGATTGGAACAATGTGGAAATACTGTATTGGGGGAGGATAAACAACACTAGAGAATTTTTAGAAGCTTGGCACTCAGGTCAATCAGCAATCAACAAACACATCCACATTGACCCTAGTTATCAACCAATCAGAAAAATCATAGGCCAACATAGGATCAAGAAACAGATCAAAACGGGGACACAATCAAAACAAAGATGCAAACAACGACAGGTTTAAGTTTAACAGCAACTAATCAAGATCGAGGTTAACAGAAACAAGCTACAGGTCAAACGTGTAGAAATTCGAATACTTCACTTCTTCTATCTGAAGTTTGTGCTGATGATGTTCATTGTTCAGCAGAAGAACAATGAAAGCTTCACAACCAAAACATCCAGTTCAGAGAAAGAAACACCACCACAATTATCCACCTGAGTTACAAATTTTCTTCAACACCTTGTAAATTATTCACTTTTATAACTTGGTTATTTTTATTTGAGTGTTCATGTGCATGCTTGCTTCAGTTACTATATGGCTAGCTTGTTTTTGTCTGACTATAAGTACACATTCATGCCTCATCTCATTGAGCTGGCTCACTCACCTTCTCTACTTCACTTCACTTTTGCTTCTTATTTACCGCCACTGCACAGACAGGGTTCGCCTAAGTATGTTAGGGAAGATTTATTTTGAAACCATGAATCGATCAACGTTAGACCACCATTAGAAACATGGAAGCACTGGACGGCCGTTTCGTCTTGGTATGAGACTCATCAGTGGCAGTGCGCACCCATTAATCCTACACCCCACAGGATTCGAACCCAGGATCTTCGGTATTGTGCGCGAACGCCTAACCTCTGGACCGCTGAGCCGGTATCCAACGGTGTTAATGTCTAACTTGGTCTAAATTGGGGCCAGATCGTGGGATACTACAGTTAGTGAGTCCTAAGCCTAATTTAATGCAGCCGCTAAAACATTATGATGGGTCCTTGAGATGATAGAATATACCGATCTGATTTTCAAACAACACTAATTCACTTCTTTAAAATCACACTACTACTACTACTGTGGTGTGAGCTACTTATAAGTAGTATATGACGCGAGCGTCAACGTAATGTCTGGCAGCAGAAGATGGGGAAAAATCAAGAAAGGAAGAGCGGGAACACAATGGAATTTGTATGAAACGCATGAATAGTAGTGACAATGGATTGATGTTTAGCAACAGGAACAGTCCAGTTCGATATGATGAACTGTTATTTTGCAAATTAACGATTTACGATATGGTTTACCGACTTTACTGAGTAACTCTGTAATAATACAATTCGGTCGCCCCACCTGTGTTCCCCTACACTACACTACTACTTAAATATTCAGTAATCAATATCACTGAAGGGTATACACCAGATTTTATGAATAGCTCACTAACAATACTTATGCATTATAACTATGAACCATATCACTAAAAAAACTATTAGAAAGGAATCTTCATGTCGTGGTACGCTTGAAGCTATTATGAGTTCACCTTAGTCGATATACGTGAACGAGACAATGAACCAGCGTCCAGATAGGCTACCTTGAATCCCACAACTTCAAAAGCGAAGTCTTGATAAGCGTAGAAAGTATATTCTACAACACCCAGCAATCACACAATACAATCAAGCACACAACTCTCGTTTATTTACACATCATAGTAATGGCCCTGGGACAGTCACAAAAATAGCACAGCAGCCAATCACAGACAAGGATTTTCGTGATGGGAAATGAAATCTCAAAGTCAAATTATCAGCCCATGCTCGCAATCGTGAAATCCAAGTGAAGGCATTTATCAAGCGAGTTCTGGGGATCCAACGTCCCCAACACTTCAACATAGGAAATTAATGTTAGACAGAATATTAATATAAAAATAGTCTGTTTCAAGTGTTAAGTAAATACTTTTAACACTATTCCTCGTTTATTTACTTTCTAAAAATGTTATTTAGTACTACTTATAATAGTTAGTAGTTCGAAGTGTATTCGGTAATTTCTCTAACTTAAGTACTGCATAGTTGTTGTTGTTGAGATCTCTAAGCTGAATGGATTGACTGTGAAGGTTTGATTGTTCGTCTGAACAACATAATCAGTACGTACTCTAAAGGGAAAAAAACAGCTATTGGAATCTCTCCGCAAATGAATGACAGGCATTGGCAAACCCTTATTCCAAATCACTAATATTAATACTGAGTTCTACGACTCAGATTCAGGTGTTAAAAGCGTTTTATCGAATGTACAATCAGTCGATCAATAAATAAGTAAATAGACAAACGAATAACAATGTATTCAAATATCAATTTTCCTTTTTACAGACAGAATAGACAAAGAAGAAATGAGTTTCAAATGAGTTTAATACTATTTAGCGTCACAGTGATTGACAAACCTTTTTATCAGATCACATACAATGGTATAGTTAACATTTAACCCTATTGAATTCAAATAAATCTAAATTAGGCAGATCAATTGAAAATATTTGAATAGCAGGTGGTTTGAACATTTTTAAAGACTGATGTGTTTTCAGTAGTTGATATCGATTGCTAAACCATTGACTACTAATCGATATAGAGTAGACTGACCACTTCACAAAGGATTAAACTTAATACATTTATGAATGACACGACAGTGCCAAACCATAGTGAAACACTTTTTCCCACTTAATTTCACTTATATCACGTTATCTTCATCTAGTGTCATTGTCTTTATTCCTGTTACAATATTTACATAGATCGTTTATTCTTACTTTCATCTTGCATAATTCTGATTTGCCTCGGTGAAATTTGTATACATCAGAATTCAAATACATTTTACAAAATGACAATACAATAATCTTAAACTTTTATTTATTGAGAGAAGATACAATCCGAAAATACAAACAATGGTTCCCTGTTTTCATTGTAGAGTTATGTTTGAAGTCTGTTGTGCATTATTAAAATCATGAATGAATCATTGTCAGACCACTTTTAGAGACCTGAATATACAGGACTACCGTTTCGTCCTGTTATAAGACTCACAATCAGTGTGCAACTTAGGACCTTCGAGTCTCGTTCGCGAATGCTTAACCTCTGGACCATTGAACCGGTGTCATCTAACAGTGTTACTACCTACACCCTAGTCACTTGTGAGCACGTTCTATGATTTTCGAAGTTCAACTCCGTTGAGTCTAGGCAGTAACTACCAAAGTTTTGGGAATGTTAAATCTCTAGAACTCGTTTGATAAATGCCTTATTTTGGATTCCACGTTTGCCAGCATGGGCTGATCAGTTGACTTTGAGATTTCAACTCCCACCAGCAAAATCCATGGCTGTGATTGGCTTTTGTGTATTTTAGTGTGTTATTTTCGTAACTGTCCCAAGGCCGTTACTATGATGTATAAATAAACGAGAGTTGTGTGCTTGATTGTAATGTGATTGCTGCGTGTTGTAGAATATACTTTCTACGCTTATAAAGTTTTCTGTTTTGTAGTTTGGGATTCAAGGTAGCCTATCTGGATGCTGGTTCATTGTGTCGTTCGCGTTTATCGACTAAGGTGAACTCGTAATAGGTTCAAGCGTACCTAGTGACGAACATATCAGTAAGGTTGCGCACAATCCTTTGATTGACCAGAGTCAGACATTAACACTGCTGGATACTGGCTCAGAATTCCAGAGGTTAAGCGTTCACGTGCAACACCAAAGCTACTAAGTTCGACTCCTACGATTAGTTGGGGTTGCAGATATACACACAATTTGTTTTTCGTTCAATAGTAATCATTTTATCCCACTCCCACCCAAAAAACAATAATAACTTACATCAATATCTGGATTAGGACTTAATACATGAGGATCATAATCATAGATAGCAATCATAATTTTCGATGGTTGATTAGTTAATTGTCGAACAGATTCCATTGGTTTATTTTGTGATGGATCTGAAGAAAAAATAAATAGAAAAGAAGGATGACAATTTTTTTAATTTTCGATATTGATATGAACATTGTTGGATTTAATTGAAATCACCAATTGATCAATGTTAGACCACAATCAGGAACTTGAAAGCATTAATTGGACAGCTATTTTCGTCCTCGTATGTGCCTCATCGGCAATACATATCCACAACCCTATGAGTAGGAATCGAACTCAACATCAATCAGTCAGCTAGTCAGTCAGATGCAACGTAGAACTTCGTACGTAATTATATCAGTTCAGTGTTGCCATACCACATCAGAACAGAGACGCAATTGTCAGTTCAAATCTCATAGTGGTAGAAATAGTAGGAGTACTACTGGTAATAGAGAGGATTAAGGTTCCAAGATATTATTCATGAAGTATAATTCAGTGAGATAAATTTAAAAAGACAAAAGTAGAGGTGTTGAAGAATGTAGAAAATTCGGATTTGAGAGAACACAATGGGTGGATGCACCTGCGCCACTGCAAACAATTTTGAGCCATGTCGTTCAAGGTCTCTAACCCTCGGTGACTTTCGTCCCGTGGACCCCAACCAAATAGCCTACATCTACCAACAGGACTCAGTCTACTTGTCAGTGACTTCATGGATTTCTGCCATGTTTTGGTTTGGCCGCCCCTAGCTTTCTTCCAACCTACTCCTACACCACAAAACATAGCTCGTCGAGTCAGTCGGTGGTTAGACATACACGCAACACATGTCCCAACCACCTCAACTGATGAAGTTCCAATACTTCGTCTATTGATTTGCTATCCTTACCCAGTACTCGCTTCTTAATGGCAGCATTGCTTACTCGGTTGTCCCATGATACACGAGCAATGCTTCGGAGAGATCTATGATCGAATACTAGTAACCTACGAATACCTTCTACTCTTACCGGCCATGTTTAGGATCCATATAGGAGAACGGAGCGAACCGCTACGCAGTACACTCGTTCATGGTCAAGAGAGAACTAAAGTCTCACGATGATGAAACATTTATCAACACAGATGATTTCAATCAAATATGTTTTTTTCTTCTTCTGCTAAAACTTACTTAATGTTTGATTCATTGTATCTGGAATTAATTCAGTTTTATATTTTGTTTGAGATTGTGCATAACGATGATGTTCTTGATCGACGAATTCATCTCGATCAGAATAATCACCCACTGTGACTGGTTGTTGATAAGGATCCGCCTGTAAATTATGCGAAATTTGATAGAAAGAAAAAATCAGTTGAACAAATGTTTAATTGTAAAAAAAAACAATTCTATCCAATTCATTCCATTGAGAACATGGAGACGGAGAAT